CATTGTCAGTCTTGTGTCCCCCGCCGTGACATTGCTGTAATATTGCTAAAAGCGGCGTAAAACTAAAATTCACTCACTCACTCATTGTCTGTCTATATATATGCATGAGTGTCTGTCTGTTTGTCTTCCCGTTTAGACGTCGGGCTATTTCTCCCCTGTCTACTTGCCTGTATGTATGCATGTCTGTCAGTCTGTCTTTGTCTATCTGTGTGTACATAACTTCGGCTATATCTCATAAAGCTGTTGCCAACAGGTTCCGGGACATGTTCATTACTAAAGTTGCTACGATATGAGACAACATTTCTTCCCGCGTCCTCATCTTCCGGATGTCCTTGATGTCTCAGTTATGGGAGCGGATTTGTGTAATTATGGCGTTGTTATGGAGTTGCTAGGGAACGTATGATGCGCTAAACACCGGTTAGCAAGGATGAGAATCGCACGATCATTCTCTACTGAAGTCTTGTGAACTTGATCCCCTCCCAACATACCTACTGAAGCAATATGTGGAATAAGCGCCGCCGCTGATCACATCCATCAGAAATAATTCACTGATGGAATCACAAGTCCCGGTTTGTTCCCAGAGGGCCTACGACAGACCATTGCTTCAGAAGACTGGCTAGGACACAGAAACAGTGAAGTGTTATCGACCAGTGTCTAAGCTTCATGCCTAAAATCTTGGAGAAAGTTGTTTCTTCTTGTTCCAACTTCATCTTGCAACTCACAATCTCCATGGTAACTTTCCATCATCTTACCGAATAGGACATTTACAGATACTGTCCTTCTTCTGGTATTGCACAGGTCTGAACAGCAAAACTTCTGTAGCGCTCATGTTTCTGGGCTCTTCTTTCGCCTTTGACCTCATCGACCACAACATACTGTGGATATAGCTGTGGTGTTTCGGGCTTCTCTCTTGGTTCCAGCCCTTCATGTCTGGAAATAGGATCAGCATCTTCACAAGAAAATGCCACAGCTTTGGCGTACCACCAGGATCCGTACTCGGACCAGTTAGGTACGGCCTGTAAGACCATGGGTGAAATATGTCGCCGTTATTATCTACCATACCTTGTCTATGCCGATAACAAAGTTAACAAACATATTTACAAAGTTATACCATCTTGCAATAACTGGGAGCGTGCCACCGGCAGACTGGAGATGTGTCTACCTGATATCAACCAATGGACAAGTGCCAGCATGCTGAAATTAAACCAGGACTAAACAGAATTGAGAATTATATCTAGACCCGTGATTCGGACCAATAACACTCAAGAGCTTGAGGTACATGTTGGCTGCATGCAGCACAAGCCATGCTGTTGACTCAAAGAATCTCGGATTGTAATTTGACAGTTGCATGGAACTGGCCATGGAGAAGCATGCTTATGCTGTGAATACACAATACCATTTAGAAAGGGGTCACATTTATCATGCGTTTTTGAGCTAGCTTTATCTCCTAGGTCACAATCTGCATCTGTGATCAGAGTGTCCCAAATACGAACCGTATACGTAATGTGACGGATATTTCAACAAGGTGGCAGCACCACTGTGAACGATCTAACACCTACCCTGGGAAAATCAACATCTTGAGTCATTTTAAGTAGCGCGTAAAACCCATCTTGTTAAATCTGCCTACACTCCTTGGAGTCAAAACCACAACCATTACAAAAACGAAAATGAAAAGGACCGAGCAACGCCATCATATCGCTTAAGATACTGTGTCTTTGTGAATTTATTACTAAATCTACTTTTCATATTTACATTTTGATGTGACAAAAACACATTGGCGGTAACGATTCTGAAGTGGTTGGCCTTGGGTAGCGAACAGAAACCTCTTTCACTTTAAGGGGCAGACTAAATCCAAGAGAAGCCCGGGTTGCTCTTCTCATCAACACTGCATATAAACCCGGTACAGGCTTCATTCAGAGAGCCTTTCATTGTGCGGATTTTATACGGCACTTCGCTTTGTTTACACTGATCTCTGTACGTCCAGCAGTACAGAACCAACAACAAAATCAGCACTGACGTTGCGATTCTATCCAATATCCATGGGCAGTTTTAGATAGCTGTGCTGCATGCTTCACAAGAGGATCATCAGACAAATACATCTGTGCAAAAGAGCATTATACAACTCTGCCATGGAGTGTCTCCGTGTTTATCAAACCACGCCCTCCCATTAGAATTGTTAAATATAAACGATTGAGGGAAGAGCGAGGGTGGAGGGTTCTATTGTCTGACATGGTTCTTGTATCTCCGACTGGCTCTCAGTATGCCTGTATGGCTGTCTTTGTGTCTGTCTGTCGTTCTGCCTGCCTGACCTTCAGTCCGTCTGTCTTTATAAAAGTGCCATCAGTAAACATAATTTGTAACTGATCATAACACTCACATTTACATGGTAAACATATGTGATATGAAATAACATGTGACCATTGAAACCCTCTTCATATCATAATTACATATATGAATAGGCCTCTTGATCCTCTCGTGCCAAGAGTTGTGTTGGTGGCAGCAGAGAAAGGGTAAACATGGGGATCTTCAGAACCCTGCCCGCATTGTTGATAGTTGAAACGAAACCAGGTGTATGTAAAATCAACGTCAACACCTGCCTGCCGTCGACTACTCTTAACAAGCGACAGTTGCTTCCCCTTCCACAGTTATATGTGATTGCGTTTAACGGAAATCTGGGCACTGAGTAGATGTGTAAAGAATACATGATTAAATATTAAACAAGCTGTAATTTACCAATGGTTTCATCAAAGATGAATGACTATATTTACGAAATAAATCCATAAATCGTTATGTGTCTTCAACTGTAAACAATGACTTTGAAAATCAAACGGTATCGATCCTGCAATTAGTGTTGAACGTAAGTCACCGGCTCATTAATAAGAAAATAATAATATCCCGCTGAAAGGAAATTGTTGGGGTGATTTATTCGCGATGTGATAAAGGCTTCGTAACTGCTTTCCTGGTTAAACACCTGAAATGATCATGAATAGATTGACCATGTCATCGCGTTGATGTTGTGATTAGAGAACGCGGAGTTGGTATGGAGCTGGGGAGTTGGTGTTGAGCTGGAGTTCTGGAGTGAGTGAGCAGGGTTTTACGCCGCCTAAACCAATGTTCCAGCAATATCAAGGCGGTGAATACTAGGAATCGGCTTAACCCATTGGACGTATGTTGAGAATCGAACCTGGGTCTTCCGCGTGACGTGCGAATGCCTTAACCACTAGTCTACCCTCCACCTCCCCTATCTGTGACTGAGTCAATAAGGTTTTAACAGTATCACTAAATATCCCGAACTTGAGTTAGAGCCAGTGTGCGAAATACTCACTGGCCTGCAAGCCCGTGGCTAATGGAAATCCAGTCGGGTTAGTAAATCTCCACAGTCACTGGCCCGCCTGGTTACTGAATTTTCATGGGGTCATTTTGTAAATATATTACTCTCCGACTTGTAAAGTTATAATACACTTTTATATCATGCACGATTATGGCCTGATAAAAATGTTCATCATATTAGGAGCTTAATGATGAAACCCGTGCCATGCCGACAATATCTTATTCTCGTCTATTTTTGTAATCTTTTGCTTAGTTTCTAAATTCAAATTTCGGGCTAGTGAATTATTTTGTTGGCTAGTAACTTTCAAGCATAGCTGGGACAAGTTTGGCTCTGTCGTCAAAGGCGCCGCAATTCGCTTTTCAGATTAGAGTCCCGTGGGCGTGCATCAATCCCAGAATCTGGGTTCGGATCCCACATTTGCCCTGACTAAACATTATCAGCACCATACACATTTTCCTTTACGGTACGAAATGCATCGTTTCGGACTTTCCTACCACATGAAGCCAACACTCATATATAATATAAACAACCTATAAATTTAAATTCTTTGTAATTATGCAACTTCTAATCACTTGGTGGAAACACGATTAAAGTTTACGTTTATGATTATTATGATCTCATAAAGACTGTATAGTAGACGAAAGAACAATCTATATTATAATTCGCAGATGTATGTTTGACGACGACGGGTCTTATATACATGTGCAGACCTTCATATGAAAACCTAAACTGGTACTGCTTATGATCTCCGGTGTTGCAGCCATGATCGTGTTGAACGTCTAAGACCGATCTCACTCTCCCCAGAAACTAATTAAATGGTCAGCTGTTATAAAGTTAAACCACAGTTCGAAGTACCCTAAACACACAAGTCCGATTTGTTCATGAAGCGTTTTGTTAGCCTAGTGGCTGAAGCGTTCGCTCGTCACGTCTAAGACACTGGGTTCCATTCCCGACAGGGATACATTGTGTGAAGCCCATTTCTGATATTGCTGGAATATTGCTAAAAGCGACGTAAAGCCACATTCACTCACACACTCTACTCAGTGGTTCAGGTTATAACCGCATTCACAGCGTGTGTCGTGCCCTTTATATGTACAGGATGCAAGACCTATCAGCAGTCTACTGTACTCAGCGTCCTGTACGACTTCTGGGCCACGGTATTGTCAATGTAACTTTAATTGCCAGACATAACTAGGTCCCTACATTGAGCTACATGCTGTCAGCCGATACAAAACATATTCCCAACTGAATCATATATTCCAGGGTCTGTGCCAGAAGGACCAACCTTAAAGAACTTAGTATGTGTATATTATGGAAACAAATTATTACTTCGACAATTTCCCAAATTCCCTCTGAAACACTTATAGTAGAACATGTACCAGAACAAGCCCTAATACACCCAACAACAGTCATGCAGTTAAAAAAGAAGCTACATTTAAAGCCTTTCAGTCAATATATACGTATGTTTATATTGCTCGACGTTCTATTCTTGCGTTTCCCAACCACTTTACTGATTACTGTAAGGTGGGGTTAACAGCCATGAAGCACCGTCCACTGATTGATACGAGTTTATTTGTTTGGGAACATATGACACTGGTCTTTGATCAATATCTGTAAAGTAAATGTTTGATCGTTCTGACCCCTCGTGTTTTCCGTTCTATTTTATCAGGCAACACAAACCGGCCTCTGAGAAGCAGAAAGACGAAGGAAGCATGGCTGTCCTCCGCGTCAACAAAACCGGTAAGGATTCATTGTGTAATGTTGTGTTCATTTGTTGTAATGATACGCTCTTCATGTTATTTAACCACTTGAAATTGAACAAGGTCCAAGTGGCCACTGACACCAACCCGACAGGTTTGATCGAGGAAAAGTTATTGTTATTTTCAAGCTTGGAAAGGGTATGGAAAGAATGGTCATTCAAACTTGCCATTTCTCCAGCCAAAGAATATTTCCAAACGAAGAATGCTTTGGCTTAAGCGTCATGCGTTGTAACGCTTTGTGTTGTGTATGTGTTGGTTTCTTGTTGAACGCCGCAATGATTTAGAATTATGACGGTGGTCAGTGAGTGATTGAATCTGGACCAGACAATCCGATGATTGAAATCATGAACACCTGTCCGCGCAATTGTGATTCATTCGTTTGCTTCAGCCAAGTTATTCAGCCCGAAAACCCGCATCTTGTCGAAAGCTGCTGAAAACAATTCTTGCCTGGATCTTTACCTGAACCTTTGTATCGTGCTGTGGGTTGTATGCTGTTCTCTGTGGAAAGATGGTATTTGTGTTTGGAACAAAACTGTTTTCAGCTTTTGTCAAATAAGAAAGCTTTGCTTTGTACGGCACATGGCATGTACTGAAACACGTATCATTTTAGTTGTTACGAGTAGTCTTCTAATTGTAGTAAAAATATTTCTTGTAATAGTAATGGGTTTCTTCCTCTCCAAGAGCCAGTTACCATTCTCATGGAACTGTAAGTTAGCGATACATATGTTGATGTCGTATGTGAAGTGAAAACTGCATTATGTCCATTCATATACTTATGGTATACTAGTATATGTCTTGCAGTCATACGGATTGATCACAATTATGTTTTCCTGTAGTATCACTATGGGATCAGCGATACTAGGGTTACCTGAGGGCACGAGGCATGTGCCTGAAAAGGTTATGTCGGATGAAATATCATCACTACCTCTCTTGGCGCTTGGCTTAATCTCCCTGCAGTACCTTCGTCGTTTATCTCAAATATAATATGATGATGTTGATGTCTACTGGCCGCCGTCTACCGTCTTCCGTTAAGTGCGTTCCACATCTTTGTATTAAATGTAGATAACAGCTAGCACTTGATATGTTTAATTTCGCAATGGACACAATTTGTTTACGTGTGTAACAACGTCGGATCTCTCGATTATTGGAAAGCGTTTCCTCTGACATGCACGCGACGGGACATGTAATGACACTCAGTGTGCTTAAACGGTGTTCATAAGTAGGACTTAAATTGTCTGTAATTCGATCCTATGAAAATTATGTAATCGGTAGGCACTGTGGACTGTCGAACTACATTGACATTATATGTAATAGGAATAATTTGTAAACATAGTTCAAATACAACTGTTGCGTCCACGTCTGTCTATATGTAAGGGTATTTAAAAGTATCGTGTATTCTAAATCAACCCTAGCCTTGCCTACAAACGTATATACTTGAGGTCAAAAAGACATGTTTAATGGTCGTTGAAATAAACAATGGAAATGGTCCTTTAATGGCGATGTATTGGTGTGATGAATTGGAGTTGTTCACAGATACCAAACATACCGCTTAGTAACATTTTGATAAGGTATGTCCCTTTCGGTTGTCAAATCCTTTTCTAAGATCCTTTCTGTTTCTGCCCTACACTTTATGTTAATTGATTTCAACTCAGTCTGGTCACGATGGTGCTGTGGTGTTCATGTAAGATCTTACACATTTATGTATTTTTCAAAATCAACATTAATACGGCCTCCATGTAACCTGATTACAACACATCTAAAGCACAGAGGTAGGCATTTAGCAGTATTACAGCAGTATGACAGCAGTACGACAGCAGTATGACAGCTGCGATACTAGGAACTGGCTCTTCTCATTTCGCCATGTGAGGGTTCGAAACTGGATCTTAGGAATGACGAGCAAACACCTTATCCTCTGAGCTACGCTGTAGTCTCAGTTGCCAAATGGACATGTCCGATAACGACAAGAACAAGTCAACGTTATCTGTAAGCTTGCCATTTCAAGAAGACCAGCAGGACTTTATAATACCTATCAGACTCTCACGACATTTTGTCAATTTACACCCTTCCATGCACTGTAAAAACGGCGTTTAGATTTTGAACACATCACTTATGTGTTTAGGTCTAAACGTGTTTAGAAATGTGTTTATATTCTAAACACATGAAGCATTTGAGCCTAGTAATCTAAACACGTTTAGATTTTAAACACATTTGATGTTTAGATGATACTGAAGTTATATGATTTTGCTTTAACCAAGAGATAATGTAGTAGAAAAAAATACAGCGAGTGATACTTGTCCGTTTTATTACATATTATTATTTATTAATTATATTAACATTCCTGTCATATATAAAATTATATTTGTCATCAAATTTGTTTCTGTATTTAGGTGTAAACATATACATAGATAGTGTGGAAAATACATGTATAATTGATTAAGCCTATGGAAAAATTACTTTTGTTGCAGTAATAGTGGACATAATTTTTTATATTCCGTAGAATATTTAAAGCATTTACTTGTAACTAGATTACTAAAACATATTAGTCTACTACATTGCATGAAACAAAAACCATGGTGGACCCCAGTGTAATTAACGAACCTTTAAGGTTATCCCAGTTGCTGAAGAGCTGTCGGTTATATTATGTCTTTCTGCCATATGATTAAAAAAAATCATTCACAGTTGAATAAAGTCCATTTAGCTACATAACAGCAGATTTAAATCAATACATGTTTTAATTTGAGAGCATATGTTTCTTCGTATATTGTATATTTGATTTCAAACATGACTGACGTCGTTGAAATGTGGCTTAAAGACAATTGTTGTTTCAACGTTTAATCGTTAAGCATTCCACTGCACATGATGCCATTTTGTCATGTTTGATAAAAAGAAACCTTTCTGATGCATCAGCACAAACGTGTTTCAACACATGATCAATAATTACTCTCAATCATGACATGCGTCTGTAGAAAACGTTGATTGAGAACCGCGTCGTCTGAAGTTTGAATCGAATATATGTGTAGTGACATTTACCGCCGACTGCAAATGTTTCACCGCTACAAGAATAATCAACAGGACCATACACTGGAAATTATGAAAATTCAAAGAAATATATACTTCTCATCAGTTAGGGAATTTTGTCGCGTCTTTACGATCGAAATAATACATTAGAACCAAGTCCGTGGACACCTTTAGAAGGACATCCACAATATTTAACTATCTGACTCAATCTATTTAGCCACAGGAATTCGTAGCTCTTAAGGAATAATAGTTTTTTTATGACTCTTTTATGACAGGATGGTCAATGGCATACATGGTTCATTAACTTCTACTTGTGTACGTATTCCTGTGGTCTAACATTGTAATGTGATTGTCTTTGAAGTCAATGTGAACTCCCGTTAGTGTATGTATGCACTTAGAATGTCATGTCAAACTCAGAACAACACCGTGTGAAAGTTGTCTTGGGTGAGTGAATATTGCTTACCGCCGCATCTAACCCAGTTTTCTTAAACACTATTACTTAATACTGTCCACATTAATAAGACTGATGATGTAATAATACAAAACAAAACTTGGGGAATAATGTTTCTGCACGAAATATGTTCAAATATTTGTAATTAAATACATTTACATTATATATTGTTGAAAGATTAAATAAATATTAGTTACAAAACATTAGATTAAGAAGTTCGAATTAACCAAACCCTACGACCCGTCTGATGACTGACACTGATCTGTGAGGAGGAATGTAGGCAAATATACATGAGAAGAACACAGGCCTACTTCAATAGAAGCCGCAGGTGTACGGGTGTAATACTAAACACTTGCTACAAATTACCTGCAAGAGTAAGCCAATAAATTGAGAATACATATGTTAGAAGGTAGAGCTTTGCAAGACCAGTTTCGGTAATTGTTTTATTATGAGTTCATAATTAGTTATGAAATGTCATACTTTCAAACTTGCCAAATTAATATTCTTGTTTAAAACCAACACGTGGTTTAGATAGAACTGTGCATTTTGCTAAATGAAGCATTGCTTTGTAATACGTTTTGAAACTGAATCTTCAGATAGCATGTTGAACTTGTGAAGATGCTGAAGATAGGGAAAGTACCTGTAGTTCTATAGACGTACGTCGGATGCATCATAAGATTTCTGGATCCTTCACCTCTATCGAACGATTGCTAAACATTCTAAATTAAATCGCTTTCCACGAGCGCACCCTACGCTGAGAATTACAGAGTCTGGTATGTAGTCATATCGAGATGAATGCAGAGCTCTCGGAGGAAGAGGGAACTCGATAGGGAATCATACAACGGTTCATGTAAACTATTCCAGCCACAGGATTCGAACCAGGTGTCCAAACAGTTCTATTGGAACCGATCACTTAATGAGCAGTGTTCTGACCTAACTATTGGCACACAGGTTGTGTGAACAAGATACCCTGTATAACGGTTGCCAGGTGGTCGACATATTGGATGGAGGTGTGATCTGTGGTACCCCTGCTTGTGTAGCTTACAGTATATGTGGACAAATGTGGATGGACCTTTGTCCATGTAATCACTCTTCAGGACCAACTGGTGATGAATCTGTTTGACCGCGATGGATAGCTGGTTTGAAAGCTGCATACTTTCCATGCCAAGCTTGTGTTAATTCTTCCTCCATTGGAAATCTTTAGGTTGGTCAGCATACCGGAAATGAGCTGTTCTCATAGTTGTTGAGCTGTGGTGGAAATTTCCCATTGAATTGGTCATGATGTTCAAGATATCGTTTCAGAATCCGTTTTGAACATGCTTACTTTACCGTCGATAAATGTGTTTGATGGCCAATAACCAAACCGGATTGGACAGTTTCACCTCCTTCTCAGAAGCAAAAGATAATGAAACGCATGGACAGATTCTAAATGAAAGCAATAGTTTGTAAAATTGTATTATGTCCACGAAACTGGCTGAGCAACAGTTGATGAGACAGAGGATTACATGGAC